CTCCGCCTCCGCCACCCCCTACCCCCGGTTCAGCTATGGCCCAGCTGAAGCCGTGTGTACCGTCGGTTCCACAGTGCAGCCCCCCACCTCCTCCGCTGAAGATCCATCAAGTTCAGCACGTTACTCAAGCAGCTCCTCCCACACCCCCACCACCTCCGCCCACGCCTGCACCCCTCCCTCCCCAAGCGCCCCCCAAGCCACTAGTGACCATTCCCCTACCGACGGGCACTAAGACGGGGCCAGCTGCTGTGACGCAGGCTGTGCCACCTACACCTGTCCCTCCAGTGCCCCCCGCGAAAAAGCAGCCGGTTTTTCCTCTATCTCACATCCCGCCCTCGCCGCCTCCCGGTCCAGTGCCCCCTCCGACGTTGCCCAAACAGCAGAGCTTCTGTGTCAAGCCGCCGCCCTCGCCGTTGTCCCCGGGGCCGTCGGTCGTGAAGCAGATAGCGAGCCAGTTTCCGCCTCCTCCCACGCCCCCTCCTGCGGACTCGCAGCCCTTAAAACCCGTCCCGGCGCATGGAGCGCCCCAGTCCCCTCCTGCTGTGAAAGCAAAGCCCAAGTGGCAGCCCAGCTCCGTCCCCGTCCCGTCCCCGGATTTCCCTCCGCCGCCGCCGGAAAGCAGCCTGGTGTTCCCGCCGCCGCCAGCCCCGGCCCCACCGCCACCACCACCACCGGCTATCCCCACAGCTTCGCCCACGTCTGACAAGAGTGGGTCTCCCGGCAAAAAAACCGGGAAGACGTCCAGCCCCGGGGGCAAGAAGCCGCCGCCAACCCCGCAGCGGAACTCCAGCATTAAGTCCAGCGGTTGCGCGGAGCACCCGGAGCCCAAGAGGCCCTCGGTGGACAGTCTGGTCAGCAAGTTTGCGCCGCCACCAGAGCCCTCCGGGTCTCCCAGCAAGGAGGCGCCACCGCCTCCTGCCGCACCGCCCAAACCCGGGAAACTGCACCTTCCCGGCGTGCTCCACCCAGGGGCTGTGCCGGCCAAAGCGTCGACGCCGAGCGGGCCCGGGAAGGACGCCACGCTGGAATTTCCTTCTCCGCCCTCCGATTCGGACTTTCCGCCGCCTCCCCCTGAGATAGAGCTTCCTCTGCCCCCCATAGAGATTCCGGCAGTGTTCGCGGGAAACACTTCTCCAAAGGTAGCTGTCGTCAATCCCCAGCCCCAGCCGTGGTCCAAAACGTCGGTGAGGAAGGCCCCGCCGCCCACACGCCCCAGACGGAACGACAGCACCCGCCTCACGCAGACGGAACTTTCGGAGCAGCCGACGTTGGCGCCACAGGTGCCCACCTCCCCCAAGTCCAGCCTTAGTGTCCAGCCTGGCTTCCTGGCTGACCTCAACCGGACACTGCAGCGGAAGTCCATCACCCGGCACGGCTCGCTGTCGTCCTCCCGCGTGTCCAGAGCGGAGCCCACCGCCACCATGGACGACATGGCCCTGCCCCCGCCCCCTCCGGAGCTGCTCTCCGATCACCACAAGGCCGGCTACGGAGGCACTCACCTGTCGGGCTATGCAACGCTGCGGAGGGGACCCCCTCCTGCCCCCCCCAAGAGAGACCAGAACACCAAGCTTTCCAGGGACTGGTAGCTACCTTTCATGTTCAGTGGTGTCTGTAATCAGTTCTACAATCACCTCACCTGATACACGAACTCAGGTGTTCAGAGCCTCCTGTATGATGTTTTTCAGGTGGTGTCCCGCTGTGTGTGTGTGTGTGTGTGTGTACATACGTTAAACGAAAATTATATATACACACACACACACACACACATATATAAAACGTGTGCGTGCGCACGTTTGTATGAAAGCTGCAGATAATTCTATTTATTCCCTCTCTGTCCTAATCTAAAAGTGGGTTTTGTGTATTTGGGGTTGAAGAAGTATGGCTGGGGGCAGGTGTCCTGTCCCTCAAGATTTACCATTTGGATTGGACCAAAAACTAATTACTTCTTTAGAAGGTATTTCTAAGTGTCCATGTGGGTGTATTTGTGCATGTTGTATATTATATATTAATGAATAGATGTATAACGTGCTGTTTCTCAGTTTGAGAAGACAACAGAATGTGTGGTGTATCTGTGGGGCTTTGTTCCCTGGTTGAAATATCTGCTTGACTGACACTTCATTACTCTAAGGCATCTACTCTAAATAAGGGCACTTTAATCAGGAGACTCTTAGCTTCATAGAACAGGTAAACTGTGGAGGGTGGGGAAATGTTGACATTGTCTGTGAGTCGTTGGTTGTGCACAGAAAACATTCATGGTGTAACCGAACCATTCTTAGCTGCAGGGTCACTGCCGTGATGCCACCCCAACCTATGATGTGGAAGAAATTCTCTCCAGGTGAGCTTTGCTTCCCATTCATGGTTGCTTCAGTCCTATAATCCTGGATGGTTCCTTTTTAGTAGCCATTTGAATCCTTTTCATGAGCTTATGAAGCTTCTTGATCCACTTTGGCTTGATAATCCTTGCTTTATTTTAAGAGGGTCTCCAGCACACCCCCCTGTGTGCTACATCCCAGTATGGCTGTAGGTCATTGGTTATCCTCTTACTGTGTGTGCTAAGGTAGATGTTTATATTCCTTATTTGTAGACAATTGGTATTTCAAATAGACATACCCTGTGCGTGACGTGGTGCATGTTACAGCACCAGTCACTGTCTGAAACGCCGTTTTTGGGTCTTGCTCGCTAGAAGGATAGGCGATTAGAAAAGAACAGAACTGGACCCTGTGTGGGTGTGTCTTCCGTCAGGCTGTGTGAGTTTTAAACATACAGAGAATCCATTTAAATTTGAAACTATCAAAGAGGGAGGGAAAGGGAAAGCAAATGAATGGGCCCTTGCTAGTTTTCTCCACAGCTACTGAAGCACACTGGGATCCTAGCTGGTTATAGCCTGGTTGTGGAGGTTCACCAGGTGTTTTGAGGGGATAGTGTAATTCAAGGACAGTGAGTGACATTACACATTGTGCATGTGCAGTTGGTAGACTGTGGAATCATTTCTCTACTGACAGAATTCATTATACTTTTAGATGGCTTTTTTCCTGTGAATTTTCCTGGGTACCTAAAAGAATGTGTACTGTCTCATCAACTTAGGATGATAAATTGACCATAAGGAATAAAATGCAATCTCACAGCTTTTAAAAAACAGGGAGAAAAAAAAAAAAAAAAAACCTGGCCTTTCCAGCAACCATAAATGAGCAGATCGTGTAACAAAGATATATGCCTATCATGAATAAGGATTCTCAATGCAAACTGCTAAACTCCTTTGACCATCCGCAAGGAAGAAGGGATGCCGATGAAGTGGGCCAGAAATGTTGAAAATCAGAGCATAAGCAAAGGTGTGTGGTGCCCTAGATGTCACTACCACCTGCCCTGTAGGAAAATGGTGCACCATAGAGTAAGTAAGTGGCCTCTCTCCATTGCCACATCTCCAGTATATTCATGTGGTTATGGAGCAATTCGTATGCCATTGTACATTTTAAAGTCCTGCTGCTTTAAAAACACTTTTTGATCAGATGTTTGTGCAGTTCTGCGTGCTTGATATTCTTGCACTCATGAGTGACCTTTCATGCACCTGCACTGCTCTGAAGCCCGCACAGCAAGGCGGGTGACTCGTGAGTGAACTGCTCAGGGTCTTCTGCCTGCAGCTTTGCATTCTAAGATCACCCTTATTTGTGAGAGTAAAGCGTTAACAATGGAGATCCAGTTATCTAAATATTAGCACTTGACTGCTAACCAGAAGGCTGGCGGTTCAAACCCACCAGCCACTCCTCGGAAGGAAGGTTGGGCAATCTACATCCGTAGTGATACTGCCTCGGAAACCCAAGGAGGGGTCGCTATGAGTTGGGTCTGACTCCACGGCAAATGACGAGGTTGTGTTCCTGTTTTGAGTGTAGTCTTTTTAAATCATGAAACTGGACACTTTCAACTTTTCTTGAGTTTAAAAACACACGCTTTTCACGGATGATTGAAGTGCCCCCCACCCCCACCATCTTCCATCCAGTGTAGGATCTCCTGAGGCTTCCTGCTTGTTCTAGGCCTAGACAGCATCCTGAACCAGTGCTTCTAGTTTATCATTTTCCAGGAACAGCAGATGCCTATTGGACCCTAGTGGACGCCAACAAGAGAGCTCTCTGCACAGGGCCAGGTGATCTGGGAGTGTTCATTTTTCCCTGCCTCTAGTGGCTTGTCTGGCTAATAGAAATAGCTATTAACTTTTTTTTTTTTTTTAACTTTGTTGTGTGTGAAATGACTAATTCAAGAAACAAAAATGCTTTCAATTATACTTCTAGTGTTTTTTTAATTCAGGTTTTTGATGGGGTCTGGTTTTTCTTTGAGACAACTCTGTATTTTTGTAGCTGTTCCTTTTTCTCTGGTGTATTCAAGGCAAATACCTCCTGCCCGCTGACACTGGTACTGTGCCTTTTTTCACTGCCTTCTGCTCAGCAGCTCTAAGCCACCACGGGTTCTTCGGGTCAAATGAGGAAATCTGGGCCGGTGACTTGGCTCTACTGAACGTGCACAGCATGGTTGAAGTCTTCCTGCTGTTGAAGGCAATGCAAACAGGGATCTGTTGGAGCTAGTGATTTGCTTATTAGCACCCTTCATTTTCACCATCAGTAATTTCAGAATTGTATCACTGTGTGCTTCAAGTTTTATCACCAGCTCTAGAGGGCAGCAGAATTTAGGACTTATTCACAGGTCATAATACGAACTCTGGTGGCATAGTGCCTAAGGCATTTGACTGCTAATCAGAAGGCTGGCAGTTCAAACCCACCAGCCACTCCTCGGAAGGAAGACTGGGCAATCTACTTCCGTAGAGATACCACCTCAGAAACCCAAGGAGGGATCACTATGTCAGAACAACTTGACGGCAATGAGCTTGTTTTGGCTCATTCTACACTGAGGTGCCGTGGTGGTGCAATGGCTTATGTTTGGCTGCTAAATGAAAGGCTGGCAGTGCAAGCCCAGCAGCTGCTCCAAGGGAGAAAGATGTGGTGGTCTGCTTCCCTAAAGATCAACAGCCTTGGAAACCCTATGGGGCAGTTCTACTCTGTCCTATAGGGTCACTATGACTTGGAATCGACTTGATGCCAGGGGGAATTCTGTGTTGAGATATTTTTTTTACCCGCTTGGCATTTACTGCTCAGAGTAAACAAATAACACTTTCTTCCTTAGCTGCTATAATTCTCACTTGGGAAAGTAACTATTAAGGCTTTTACAGATACCCATGTTAATAGTCAGATTTTTTAAACTGCCAGGACTTCTTAAAAGTGAAAAAGATTGCTGAGTCTTAAATTATGGACGATTTTCATCAGAAAATTAAAAAAAAAAAAAAAGTAATATGGAAGTGGCTTTTTCTAATCCTCTAAAGTTAAGGCACTCCTGCCTACTGATGACATAACTCTAAGGGACATGAACTATCTTGGACGCCTCTTCTTTGTGTGAGTTTTGTCACTGGCATTAATGCTGAATTTATCAAGAAAGTTCCTCTAAACAATACTGGGGGATCATGAATAATAGTAATTCCAACAGAATTGACAGCACTGAGATCAAGGGTAATAGGAGCTGTGCATCCAATTTAAGTTTCAGAAGCAGCTGTTGGGAGGACAAGCTGCTTGTGTCAAGGACTGAGGTTATCAAATTAGCCTGAGAAAATTTTCACATAATGATGTGGCTTTGATTTGGTTATCAGGCTACCAGTAGAGCCCACTGTCACCTTTATCTATAAGCTGAAAGCAATTTCAAGCACAAGGTGATTTTCAAATAAGTAAAAAAAAACCTATTTTAATAGGTTATTTCAAGAATTTTTCAGATTTAGCCCAATTAAAACTATGACCCTGTATATGATTATGGAGTCAAATAAAATCAGTATAATCATTTAGGTTTACGTAGTTTGAGAGAGGGTGCTGATTTCTGAAAACACCCGTGTGCCGCAAAAAGCTCTGGTACTTTGATTTGTACTTTATTATCCATCACGTCAGCTGTACAAAGCAGGGTTATTTAACCCTAACCCTGCAGGAATATACAACTGCTCACAAAGCTTGAGATTGGCCCAGCGAGAGATGCAAGAAGAACAGAATTAAGTATCTATCTTTTCAGATTTATTTTCCTTTTAAAATTCAATGAGAACAACATTTTTACACTGTTACCAATCTATCCCTCAAGCATTAGTGCTAACCATGCCCTTGGAAGGTCTGTATGTAAAAAAAAACCCGTAAGTTTGGCTGTAAAATAAAATTTGCAAAATAAAGGTAAGCAAAACAACATACTTGATCAACACTTGAAAAAAAAATCTCCATTTGGTTTGCTGTTTGCTCGCTGAGTAAACCGTTTAGAAAAGAATATTTGCTATAATCCCCAGTGCCTTTAACTCTTTTGGAGGAATAGCATTTAAAAAAAAAAAAAAACTTTGAGGTGCTAATAAAGAGAAGGAAGGGTGAGTGTTTCAGGTTTGGGCAGAAATAGAAAAAATAACTGTCTTACAAGAGACAACTTCATCGACCTAAACAGAGTCTAGCTGCTTTCTACCAAAGACATCAGAGAGAGTCAGGGTGCCAGTGAAGACTGAATGTTTCAAAGGTGGCTAGTTCCG